CTGGGCCATTCAGCTCGTTAGCTGGTCGGGCCTGTTGGGGAAGTGCTGTGGACCATTTGAATCTGAGTGACAGTAAACAGATCATTGTTCCTCCGTTCTTCCAACGTAGCAAAGCTGTGCCGCCTTCAGTCAAGTGGCCTGTGCTTGATGAGAAGAGAAAAACGTCCTTGGGAGCCATTGGGTTGGTGGTGTGGAACCAGGATCTCTGATCTCAGGCTTCGTTGTCTGCTTTGTACGCAGGCGGGCATCTGCTTCCAGACTGGAGGCTCTGAAGCTTTTAAAAAGCTCATTCATTCCACTCCCCTTTCTTCCGAGAGAGCAGAAAGGTGACTGACCCCATTTTCTGCCCTTGCCTGTAAAATTCTGGACCTTCGGGGAGCGTGGGGACCCGGTGCCCTGCTCCCCATGCCCTCGTGGGGGTCTGCACTGGCTTTGGGGTAGATTGGCCCCAGGGTGGGTGGCAGAGAGGACTCCACGTGGCCATGGCTGGGGCTTTGAGCCAGTTTGGGATCACGCCGAGTGCTTTCTCAGTAGCCCTGGTCTGTTACCCTTTGAAAGGCGTGCAGTGGGTCAGAGTTCCCTCCATCTAAGTTTCTCTCTTTTTTCATTTTGCCACAAGACAGAATTGTATCACACATCTCCAAAACGAGTAAAATGGCATTTCAGCTTCTTGTCTTTATAGACTCTCTGAACTTTAGGAAAGATCATTCTGGTCCCTTTTCATTAATAATGAAAACCAAGGGGCAATAAAATGTTCTTAACGCGAGCATGTCAGGAACGAGTCACGGTGCGGGGGCTGAAGGGTGCGGCCAGCAGGGAGCCACAGGTGTTGCTTGGTGCTTGAGAGGTCAGAGCTCTGGAAAGGCGGCTGCAGCTGTCACGGGGGTTCTGGTTCGTGGACCCTTGAACTGTCATCACCTGTTCAGCCTTCCAGCTCCAGTGCCCAGAATGAGAGGCTGAGCTTCTCAAGACCGCATACGTTTTCGGGAAAGAAAGAGCCAGGCAAACTTTGGGTTCTGGTCCAGTTCCTTGCCCAGGTGCAGCTGTTTTCTTGCAAGGTACAGAGTGGGGATTTGAGAAGTCTATGGTGAATACAGTATTCTGGACATGTGCCTATCTTAAAGGTGCTCTCTCTGAGGACTTTGACAGCACAGATGGATGTTCCGGGTGTGGACGAAAGCCCTCCTGACCAGTGACTCTCTTGAAGAGTGATAAGGTGACTCTATCTCCACTTTTCCCCCTAAAAACGAGCTTGTGCTGGATGTTGGATATTGCATCCGGGCACTCAGAGCAGAGTGGGCTTGGAATGAGACAAATGAGGAGGTTGCCCGGAACTCAGAGCCTCCTGGCTCCTCCAGCCCAGGGTGAAAGGTCCATCTGTGTCAGTGGTCTCAGAGCTTTCGATTTAATGAGCCGCAGCTGCTTAGCCACGTAGACGCTTGTTGGACGGGGATATTCACTACAGCAGAGCAGCGGGACTCCTTTCTTTCTTTCTTTTTAAGTGAGGGAGCAGGGGGAGTCCCAGAGGGGGAGAGACAGAGAGAATCCCAAGCAGGCTCCACACTCAGCACGGAGCCCAACACAGGGCTCCATCCCAGGACCCTGAGATGGTGACCTGAGCTGAAATCGAGAGTCGGCCGCTTAACTGACTGAGCCACCCAGGCGCCCCAGCGGAGCTCCGTTCTGGAGACAGCTTCTGTGACCCTGAGTGTCACTGCACAACCCTGGGAGGGAGTGGGGATGACCCCAGAGCCCATGCGAGAGTAGACAGATACATTTATATAAACATGGGTATGCTACATGTCAGGAGACACCATAAGCAGAGTCAAAAGAAAAATATACCGGGAAGGATTTTTGCAATTTTTTAAAAAGATTTTATTGATTTATTTGAGAGAGAGAGAGAGCGCCCGTGCACAAGCAGGGGGAGTGGGAGAGGGAGAAGCAGGCTTCCTGCTGAGCAAGGAGCCCAACACGGGGCTCCATTCCAGGACCCTGGGATCATGACCTGAGCCGAAGGCAGACGCTTCACTGACTGAGCCACCCAGGCGTTCCAGATTTTTGCAACTTCTGTCATAGACAGAGGGCTCATTTTCCAGGCTCCTCCATCACTGTCACCTCTGCCTCCTGAAAGCCGCATTCAGCTATATAAGAAATTTCTATAAATTGATGAGGAAATTAATAAAGAAATTGAATAGGAGAGTAGGGATCATATGCAATATGCCAAAAAGGACACGCAGTGCAGAGATGCTCAGTCCTCACTCACGGTAAGATTCATGCAAATGAAAGCGGGCGTGAAGTGGTCTTTTCTGCTTTCCTATGGGCAGCAGTGCGGGTGTGGTGAATGCGCAGTGTTGGTGGCCGTGAGGAAGTAGGCACTCTGGGATGTGGCTGGTGGGAGCAGCCTGGTTCAGCTCCCGTGGAGGACTATTTGAAAATATCTTTCTGAATTGCTAATCGCATGTACCTCTGACCCAGGCTCCTAGGAGCCACCCTCACACGTATATGTGAGATGACATGTGTACATGGCCCTTGGGGGCAGCACTGTGTGAAATAGTAAGAGGCCGGAAATCAGTGGGGAATGGCTTAAATGGACTATTACGCAGTTATGGGGAAAAAAGCAGGATGAGAAGTAGGGTGTATGAGAAGAAAAATAGTACATATCTGTTTTGCCTTATATGTGCTTAAAAAGTCTCGGGCCGGACAGACGGGAAGCTGTTCACAGTGGCTCTGGGTGGTGGAGGGAGCCTGTTGGCAGTAGACTGGTGACAGATGCTATGTGCTGTTCAGACCATATGCATCTATGAGCCGCTCAAAAGCTGTAAAACGAAAAGGGGAGTTGAGGGCTGAGGGAGAGGCCACCTGTTGATTATAGTTTGTGCACGAGACTCCAGGGCTGGGCCACGCTGGGAAACTGGTTTGGGATCCACAGGCCGTGCTGGCAGTAAGGGGAGGCGGGCCAGGAGAGACTCCTCCAGGCCCCTGCACCACTGTCACATCTGCCTCCTGAAAGCCAATTTGGCAGCTCGGGTAAGGAGGGAGCGTCTCCCTCGCACCCTTGGAGGTCTTTGCCCCTTGGATCCCCCTGGTGGCCCGTGCGTCAGCAGGCCCTCCTCACCGAGTACCCACATCCTGCCACTGAGCCTGGAGAAGGTCCCTCTCCTGCTCTCCTTTGTCAGGAGATGCCAGGCTATGACGAGTACCTGGAGAGCTTGCAGGTACAGGGAGAGGTGAAGGCTGAGACACACAGTGTCCGTCCCCACGGTTTGCCATGGGGCTTTGCTCCGGGAGCTGTGGTGGTCTTTTCAAGAAGTTTGAGAATGCTGTTGTTCTTCCTTTTCTCTCGTGCGTGTCCAGACCCCAGCTTTCTTGTCATAACAGCACGCCTTGGGTGGGTGCCTTCTGGATAACTTGCCGTGGGCACTGTGGTCTGATTCTGCAGACCCGATTAGAGTCCAGCACCACTGATCATTCTGGAAATGGTGCGCCGTGCCTTCCGTGGCAGATCCCTTGAGAGGAGGCAGAGCGTCAGAGAAGATTATGGCTGTGCAGGCACTTTGTAAACAGTCCATGGGAAAGATCACAAGGTAGAACACTCTGTTCTCCTCCTGTGGGATTGGAATCCCATTCAGGAGTCGGGGGGAGCTCCTGAAATGGTGTGTTCTAGAGCACTGGGCCAGGGTCCTGCTCCTGCAGGAGGACGGGCTGCCCGTGTCTGGTCCCCGCCCGACAGCAGCGTGGGTTCTTCTGAGGCCCTTGTTCCCTCCTGGTCCGTCTTACCCCCTGGCAGGAGCCTCCTCCTGCCTGGCCTCCCTCCCCTCCCGCCTGTATCTTGCCCTTGAGGGTACCCGATGTTGTTCTCCCAGAATACTGGAGGGCGGACTGGGCCACTCCCGGATTCAGAGCCTTCAGTGACCCGACTGCTTGTGACACGATGATAGGTGGCCTGGCCACACTCTCCACCTGGCCGCTGCGTGTCCCAGCTCTTTCCCTCCACTCTACTCTCCACCACTCCCGCTTGATTGGCCCCTCTCTGTTCTGGCCAGTCTCCCCTCTTGGGTAGGCCCAGTTGCTCACTGGGGCCACAGTGGCCACCTTCTCTCCTTGAGCACAAGTCAACCCCTGCCTTGGTACTTGCTCGTCCCCTGCCTGGAGCTCTGTCCCCGGGACCCCGCATGTTTCAGTGTTTGCCTCCTCCAAGGCCCTGCTGACCCCTGGCTCTCCTCCCTGGCCCTTCCCACCTCACATTGCCCCGTTGGACCTTCTTTTTGTTGTTGTTTAAAGATTTTATTTATTTAAATAGTCTCTCTGCCCAATGTGGGGCTCGAACTCAGGACCCCGAGACCAAGAGTCGTATGCTCCACCGACTGAGCCCGGCCAGGCACCCCACCCTGTTGGGCCTTCTTGATCACTCTCTGGAGTTACCTTGTTCAGTCATTTGTAAGCTGTCTGCTGCATGGTTCAGGATGAGAGCATTCCAGGGCACCGGGGTCTCGTCACCCCACGCCCCTGGGCCTACAACACTGTCCGGCACACAGTTGATGCTTCATGAAGTCTTGAATACACAAATGATGCAGTCTCCTCCTTTCCCCTCCCCCGGTTCTGAGGAGGCTCTTAGCTCATCCCTGTGTGTAATAGGGCATGGGGATGTGTATTTATGCACACTTAAGTGTTTGTGTCAGCCTCACAGGACCCTTTGTTCCCTAAGAGTGGAGTCCATGTAGTAGGTCCGCAGATCACCTCTGCCACCTGACTGCCACCGAGGACTTGGCTCACGGCTACCCACCTCCACACAGCAGGTGTGTCGCTGAGGCGGGTTGTTCGAGAGCCTGGACAGAAGAGAGAGACACAGCCATGCCACTGTCCTCACTGTCACACGCTGTCTCCTGCCGTTGTGTGTCACAGTTGCTGATCCTTCGAGATTAAGAAATAGTACACGTGCTCTCCCCTGCCTGGGAAGGATGTGTGTGCTTCTACTGACGCATCTTTTCTCCCAGCCTCAGGCTCTGTGGGGTCCCGATGGAGAGACTACGGTGCCTTGGCTGTCATCACGGCAGGCATTGCGTTCGGCTTTCACCAGCTCTACAAGGTACGTCCGCCCTTCCTTGTGCCCCCCACGCCGGCATTCAGCCCCATTCCAAGGTTGATCTGTGTCGAGGTGCCCAGCCCTGGAGTGCGTGCGTTGGCAGGAGAGGGGCCGCTTGCAGGGGCAGAGTGTACGGATGAGCACGTTTTCTGCGGGGGTCGTCTTTTTCAATCTCTGTCCTTGCCCCCACCTGGATGGGTGCTCTTGGCAACTTCAGACACTGCTCATCTGCTGCACTGGGCATTGCTCCTCAGAGTCCCTGCTGCGCAGGGTGACCATGGGGCCCGTCCATCAACCGGCCATGTCGGGTACTTAGAACAGTGCCCAGCATATGCTGAGTAGTTGGGACATTTTGAGAAACAGAATGACAAGGTGGTTGAGAGCAGGGACACTGTAGCCCAGCTGCTGTGTTGCATCCCAGCTCTGCCACTTAGCAGGAGCTCAGTGGTCTCATCTGTAAAATGGGGACGATAGTACCTACCTCACAAGGCTGTCGTGAAGCTCCTTTGGAAAGTGCTATGTGCCCGGCAGTCAGGAAGCACTCTGTACTATTATTCTACTTGAGTATTTGAAACTGGCTTTGAGAATCCCAGTATCATTTTATTTATGGGCTCTGTTTTTGTTTCCTACATATTGTGTTGGCATCCCTGTAAATCTAGGATTTTTTTCCCCAAACTTCATAGTCAACCCTCAGGATCCCAGACTTGGTTGCTTCCAGAAGAACTGCAGGCATGAAATGAACACGTACTTCCTATCCGGTTAGTATTTGGTATCAAGGAAGTACTTGGAATACCAAATACTAACCGGGTACGAACTACCAGATACTAACTTTGATGTGAAGTAAGCGAGTCTTTTCTGGAAGATGCAGAGCCAGGGTAGGTCCCGGAGACAAAAGGCAAAACAGTGGCCAGAGGACTTACTCTCTGCTGGTCCTGGAGAGAAGGCCGCTTTCCTCCTGATGTCACCTGCAACAAATACCCAGACTCACTGTTGTAACTTTCAGCACGGGAAACGTGTTTAAACACTGTGCTCTGGGATTCTTAATTTTTGACTTCATGCAAAAGCTAGTGACAGAGTTGCAGCAGAGTAGAATTTTTTCAGAGGAACGTCTATTCTTGGAATTGGAAATTTCCATGTCAGAAATCCAGAAGCAAAATGTTCTAGGTCCTGGGACTTCTCCCCCTGACCTGATGCCCTTCGTTTACCCTGTGTGAGGAAGAAGAATAAAATGCTAAGACAGAATTCTCAAAATAAGGTCCCAGCTCTACTAAGCAGTACCTAATCATCACGTGGCTCCCCTCGGACGGCCTGTGGTCTGCTGGAAGTGGGTATAGTTCCTGTTGGAGCAAAGCAGAGGTATCATCAGCTTTTCCCACCAAGCTCTGATCTTTATTTACTCTTTGCCTTAAAAAGTAAGAGACACTGAAAGATCAGTGGCAATGGTGATGAGGATTTTTTTGTTTAGTTTCTTTAAATTAAAAAAAAAAGTAAGAACCATCACCTTGTTTTATAAATATGTAATGATTTAGGCTCAGGGGAGTGTATGTGCTCCTTCCTTTGGCTTTTTTGATCTCAGAAGTTTTCGTTTGTTACGTGTGTGAGAATCCCTTGACTTTTACACTCAGGAAACTCAACCTGGAAGGTAAGGCTAAACATTTGATGAGTTTCGGCTCAGTTGTGGGTAATAACTCACACAGTGGTTGAAAAGCTTTTTGCAAAATAGAAAATGCTTCTGTGTCTTTGCTAAATAATGATCTTCACTCCAGAGTTGCTCCTGAAGTGAGTTCTGTGAGAGACCTCCTTCTCCTTCCCTGGTACAGAACCCTTAATGAAGAAGCTGCTGCTGTCTCTTTTCCCATCTGGGCCCCAAATGGAATTAGAAGCCACATGCCTTGGTCCCACCTGTCAGTTACCACACCTGCCGACCTGTGCTGCCTCCAGGGCCCCCCGCCCCCATTAAAACTGGAGACTGGGCTCACGCTTCTAAAACAAGAGTTTCTGGAGTGCAGTGCCCATGTTCTGTCATCCAGCCCTCCCAGCGGCCGCCCTGCTGCCCACCCTCCACCCCTTCCCACCTCAAAGCAGGCAGCCAGTTACCAGCTATGCCCCACTTGCCTTCTTCCTGAATGTTCTGAGACCCTCATCCTCCCCTGGGCTTCCCGAATTCTGGGCCACCTTGTTTGGTTGCCCCGTGGCATCTGCTTCCTTCTCCCCGGGGTCAGTTTCTTCTGGTTCTGCCCCTTACTCTCCCTTCTGCCCTTGTGTCTGGGGGAATTTGACTGCATTTGATTGACTCTTACCCGAAGGGTGCTGGCTCTGAGGATTCAAGGCTTAGTTTAGGAAAAAAACTTGAGGTGTGACCTCTTTCGATGGCCTTGGAATGCCGTGTATTATTCCCTAGTAAAAGGACCAAAGGCCCAGAAATGTGCTGTGGATTTTCATCTAGTTTCTCAAATGATTTTTTTGTTTATTTTATTTTATGCATTTGTCTCTGAATGGTGATTCATTCACGTGGATCAAAATGTTTAAAGGATCAGAAAAGTGTACAGTCGAACGCGGCCCTGCCGCTCCTCCCTGGAGGCCACCAGTGGTGTCACTGTCTTGTATCACCTTCTACATTTTTATCTTACAACTTTCAGAGCAGAATTTTAAATATTTTTTGTTACGGAAATATACGTAGCATCATTGAGATAATTAAATAAAAGGACCAAAAATAGACCAAATTGACTTTAACTTGTCCCTACTTCCTGGTCCTTGTCCTTATGCAGAATCTTAATCAGCCTCGTAACTTTCAAGTATCTCATTGACGGTGTTTGTGGCGGGTTTCCGAAACCCGGAGGTGACAGAGAGAAAGTGGGTGGGCAGAATTTGAGAGGTGGCTGGAGAATGACCCCAAGTGTGTGTCCACTGCTGACGCCTGCCCTGCTCCTTGTAGAGATACCTGCTCCCCCTCGTCATGGGTGGCCGAGAGGACAGGAAGCACCTGCAGAGTATGGAGGCGAGTCTCTCGGAGCTGAGTGGCAGCGTGGCACAGACAGGTAAAGATTAATGACTCCATCAAGTCGCCCCTTCGAGCCTTCTCCAGCAGCCCCTTCTCTGCCCCGCCCCTCCCCCTCCGTCTCCACTTTATGTGGTGACTTCATTTATCTGCTCTGAGAATCTGTTCACATTTGCAAATGAAGCCGCCGTCATTTCGGTTTAATTTGAAATTGCTTGTTTACTGTCGGCGCGGCCTCAATTAATTATGTTTTTACGGAAAGGCTCCCAACCTCAGAATATTAATAAGGGGAATAAAATGACAGCCTTTCTAAGGGCTGTAAAGTTCATTTTTAATTTCTGCTTCTGTGAGGTTTTCAGGGGGGTTTTCAGTGATTTCTTTCCCCCTTCCCTCTAAGAATCCAACACAGGGTCAAGAAAGGCTGTAATTACTGCGGCTCCGGGGACCCCAGCCACCTCCTCTGTCATCGACTCCACGGGGCTGGCGTTCATTACCCGGTGCCCCAACGATGGCCCAGATTAGCTGGGACCTGTCGCACCAGAGGTGGCTTTTCCTCTTTATAAACTTGTTTACTAGACGGAGGCTCTGAATCTAAAAACTCAGGCAAGCGCCAGAGCCACTGTCCCAGGCAGGAGTCTGTCCCCCCGGGGTGCGTTTGCAGAGCCCCCAGAGAGGCTCTGGTGTGTCCGCCCCCAGGGAGGCTGACACTGGGGCCTGTGGCTCCCGCACGGTCCTGTGACACTGTGACCCGGGGGCATGCCGGCAGCCTCGGGATTGGGTGTGGAAAGCAGGGAGGAACGGCCAGAGAGCAGGATTTGGAGTCTTGAACCACTCCCGGGATCTCGGGCCTGAGATGCGTTTCTGCCAGCATGGGAGAGTCCACAGGTTCCCACGAGGTGAGGGGCTGAGATGAGGGACACAGACGGTACCAGAGTCGGAAGAGCCGAGCAAATCATAAGCACGTGTAATTGGAGGGGAGAGGTTTCGGACGGATATACTGTTGACCACGGACAAGTGCACAGTGGAAAGATGGAGTGGGAATGCTAGAGGGTAGATGCGGTGCAGGTAGGTGGCCCAGAGCGCAGATAAATTACATGCATGGCGGGGTGGGGGGGTGTCTGCAGGTCAGTGAGATGCGGCAACTCTAGGTATGTGGACAGAGAGGGGAAGAATCCGTATCATTTAACAGAGATGCGACTGCTTTCTCCTCCCAGTGACTCAGTTACAGATGACTTTAGCCTCCGTCCAGGAGCTGCTGATTCAGCAGCAGCAGAAGGTCCAGGAGCTCGCCCACGAACTGGCTGCAGCCAAGGTACTTGTCCCTGACCCTCTCCAGATCCAGGGCTCCTCTAGGGGCCTTTGTGCCCAGTTCACTGTGTTCCATGGGGGCCGACTCTGTCTTTTCTCGTGCCCGTTACACAGCAGGGGCCCACCTGCCCGCTGCAGAGAGAGGAGGGAGTCACCGTCCCTCCATGCCCTCTCCTAGCAGGGGGAGGAGAAGCAGCTCTTTGCCTGTGGCCCCTCCCGTGGCAGGCAGCACACACCCAGCTCTGGGTGTGGTTGGGGTAGACACAGGATGGTCTCCCCGAGCATGTTAGATCGCAGGTCACAGCGTGGCCAAGAGCGAGTCCAGGGGACAGGGAGGTAGGGGCAGCGTGCCAAGACACCGGGTGAAGTTGGCTGCAGTGGGCAGAGTCTCTGCACTCAGCTCTCGGGAAGTCAGGTGACCCCCGAAGGAGCAGTGTCCTTGACTCACTTCCCACATCTGACCAGTCTTGGCAATATGAGATCCTAGGACCAGACCGCCTGGGTCGCAGTCTGCCTCTGCCACCAGCTAGCTGTGTGAGCACAGGCAAGTTACTTAACCTCCCTGAGTCTTTGTTTACTCATCTGTAAAGTGAAGCTGTTAATGGCACCGCCTTCGTTGTCTGTATGCGCTCAGAACAGTGCCTGGCTTCCGTCGGCTCCCAGCATGGCAGGCTGCTGGCTTGGGTCTGTGGGTGCGCGACAGGCTCGTTCCCAGGGCACCGTCTTGGACAGACCCAGGCCAGGAGACAGTAGTCCACCAGTGACTCCGGGACGTCCGCTGTGCTCCCCACTCCATCCCCTTCCCCGTGCTGCTTTCTAGTTGTTTCCACACAGCCTGTACAGTCAAGGAACCTCCTCTGAGTGGCTCTCCCAGGAGACGCCCCACCCGGTGCAGAACCAGATGTGAGCCAGCGCTCAAATCTTTTACATTCGCAAAACCAAGTGAAACAGGAATCTTTCCATTTCCGATGGAATCTGGGGTGCCTCTTGTGAAGAGGGTCCCCAAGAACCCCCTTCTTGGATACCCGACTTCCTCCTCAGATGGCTGTGGTTGCCCGTGGCCACCTCTAGCCACGGTATGTGCTCCCTGTGGGCGGGCAGCCCGTAAAGCAGCCGGGAAGGCCGGGTTATGGCCCCCACCCTGCTCTCCTCTATTATCTTTGGGAGTGGTGGCTTGCCAATGGCCAGAAGCCATTCCGGAAATTGGAAAACTGTTTGCAGACCTTGAGCATTAAGATTAAGACCACATGTTGCATTTTAAGAGGGGAGGGGGCCCGAGATTGTGCTTGGCGGCTGAGAGCCGTCTCTGTGAATTTCTCGTGCTTGCTTGCTTCCCTAACGGCCTCCCCCCGCCCTCGCCCGCGCCCCCAGCCCCCTTTCATCCTCTCCTGTACTGCAGCGGGGCTCACTGGTGTGGTGTCTAAACCCAAATGCGTGAAGACTTTGGTTACCCCATAACCCAGCGACTCAGAGCTGTGTTTTCTCAGCTGTAATGTAAGTTTTTATATCTGGCTTCCAAACTCCTACTGCAGCACTGTAAAAAATTAAAAAGAGGAGCGTTAAGTAATTAAAAAACCTACATAAAACTGAAGGTTGAGAGTTTTCTACAACTGTTTTTTTAAAGAGACTGGCTAAAAAGCCCCAGATGTCAGATTTTATTTCTAAATCCTGGCATCTGGCACCATATGCGTTTGGAAATTTGAGTCCTTTGTAGGCCGGTGAGTGGAAATTGCTCCCTTGTTAATGCGCTGCTATGGCTTTCAAGGTCTCCGAGAAGCCAGAACGGTGGCTCCTGGATCTGCGCTGTCTGGTGGTCTGGAGTGAGGACCCCGAGGGGATGTGTGTGCGGGTGGCTGGTGTTTGCAGGGGGGTTGTGTGCGCTCCCTCCAAGACCTCCAGCCCCTCTGCAGGGCTTCTCCCTGTAGAGGAGTGCTCACCTGAGTGGGGCCCCCACCCCAGGTCAGAGACCCCTGCCACCCTGGTGGGAACATCCGGGGCCCCTCCCCTCTGCCAGCCTGTGCCTCCCCATGTTCTCCTGAACTTACGGTGCCGGCTTTCTGGGTCAGGCCAGGGTAGAGGTGTTAGGGAAGCTGGGGCCTTACACGACTAATCCGTGTACTTGAAGCCACCTGGAGGTGGTCTCCAGCCTGGTGGATGCAGGCCCATACACCTGGGCCCATCACACCTGGAATTGGCCCATAAACACTTCACAGACCGCTTGGCCACCAGCAACTACCATTTGGGGGAACCACCGTTTGGACTTTCCTCTTCTCCGTCTATCCCAACAAGATTTGCCAAAGAAAGGTGTAGTTCTCTGAAGTTTATTTGGAAAACGGTCAAGGATGGCGTCTGTCCTAGGGGTTGTGGCAGTTTCTCCCGTGGGCCCTCTTCAGGGAAAGAATTGGCGTTAAGTCCTAGGACAGCTTCTTGCTCTCTGCTGAGCCTTCAGAATTATCCCAAAGCAGTGGCTGTGGACGGATGGAGTGGCCCGCACATTGTAGCTTTGCAGATAGCCGGGTGCAAGCCTGAGGGCCTGACCTCGCTGCGGTGGGAGCCAAGGGCTGCCCAGCAGTGCGGGAAGGTGCTCCTGAGGCGAAGCCTGCCTTTTGGGCCTGCTTGCCACTGGAGCTGGGGGCCGGGCCAGGCAAGTGCTCAGCGGTCTCCCCGGCCCCCCAGCACAGGCACACCTTGGAGATACAGCGGGTCTGGTCCCAGATCACCACAGTAAAGCCAGTATCACAATAAAGCGAGTCAGATTACTTTTTTGGTTTCCCAGGGTGTATGAGAGTTATGTTTACATGATACTTTAGTCTGTTAAGGGTGTAATAGTATTATGCCAAAAAAATGTGCATACCTTAATTTAAAAATATTTTATTGCTAAAAATTGCTAACGATCATTTGAGCTTTCAGTGAGTCCTATTCACTGATCATAGATCACTATAACAAATATAATAATAATGAAAAAGTTTGAAATATTGCGAGAATTGCCGAAATGTGACACAGACACTCAAAGCGAGCAAGTGGTATTGGGAAAATGGCGCCAACACACTTGCTCGACGCAGGGCTGCCCACAAACCTTCACTTTGTAAAAAAAAAAAAAAAAAAAAAAAAAAGCACAGTACCTACAAAGTAGGGAAGTGAGGTAGGCCTGTCCAGTGTGGGTTGTGGCGGCTGCCGGCTTCCGCCCCAGGGTTCCCTCCTGTGTGTGGTGGGCTTGTCTCTGCAGGGAGAGGCACTCCGCTGGAGCAGTTGATGTGGAGATGGAATTCACTTAGTTTATTAGTTGAGTTTTAATGGGACATTTCAAACACAGGCGGAAATGGAGGGCCACGGAGCGGATGGCTTGCTTCCGGCACACCGCCGGGCACGGTCTTGGCCCCACAGCCCCCAGCTCGTGTGGTGGCACACGCCAGACGGTGGATCATTTGCTACTGCAGACACTTGCGTTTGCATCTCTTGAAGGATAAGGGCTCTTGTGTTGCCATTATTTTACATAGTCGGAATACCGTTACCATATACCTAGATACATGTCTCAATTGCTTAGTATCATCCGATGTCCAGAGTTGTGGGCATGTTTGTTTTGAGGGTGCCATTGTTGAAGCAGAAAGACCCAGGTAGGCAGACCCCTGCACAGGCAGTGGCAGAACCTTCCCAGGGGGTCTCCAGGCTGGCACCCAGGACCTAGCAGGCCCTGGGTGCTGCACTCGCACCCTGGGTCCTCTGGAGATGGCAGCCCCTCCTGCCATCCTGGCCTTCTGAGCTCCACAGGGCAGGAGGGAGGTGCCGCTCTGATCCTCCTTCTCCTGTGTTTTGACTTTCAGGCCACCTCATCTACCAATTGGATCCTGGAGTCTCAGAATATCAATGAACTCAAGTCGGAAATTAACTCCTTGAAGGGGCTGCTTTTAAACCGGTAGGAGGGGAGAAGGCGTGGCTGTGGCTCTGCCCCCCCCCCCCCGCCCCCAGCCCCGGACTGCAGAGCCCGAGCTCCTGGGGCCTGGCCAGCTGTCATGGTCGGGGCGCATCTCCCCGAGGGGCCCCTGTCCGTCCAGCCCCTGGTGGCGCTGGGCGACTCAGGCATTGAGTTTGGGAGTCGTTGGAGCTTCTGCCTTCCCTCCCCGGGAGGCCCCCTCCCTCTCCACTCTAGGTGGGGACAGTCCACAGGACCCCCAAGTTCTCAGGTACAGCAGTTCCTCAGCCCTGTCAAGACCCGGTCAGGGATAGCTGCAGCCACAGCACAGGATCTTGGACGAAGGAGGACATCCCCGTCCTGAGAAGGACCTCCAGACAGGGACACCAGCTCCTCCTCCGTCCTGAGCCCCGACGCTGGACCTCTCAGTGACAGCTTGGTCCCGGAGAGGTCCCTTGCAGAAGGCCAGGGAGTCCTTGGTTGGAAGGATTCTGGATTCGGGGCAGGGGACAGAAGCAGTGGTCTCCTTTTGCTGTCCCTCTGCGGTGATAGCACCTTCCCTGAGCCTCCACACGGGAGGCTGTGTCCCAGTGCTGCCCTGAGTGCAGGGTGACCGACTTGTGTCCCCTCCGTCCTGGGATAGATCCTGGGACAGTTGGTCACCTCACCTCAGGGCACTTCCGGTTGGCCCTGGCTGCGTTCTCATTTCTCCGGGGCTTAGTGGGGGCTCCGTGAGGCAGTCCGAAGGCACAGAGTGGCCCTTCACTTGGGGTCAAAGATTGGGGGCTGCAGGGGTCTTGTGGCCCCAACCAGGGGATCCAGTTCTCCAAGCCACCTACTTGTAGGCCATCTTGGAAGAAAAGAATGTGGCCCTAAGAGAGGTGTGTGTCATTAGGAGAAATCCTTTGTTTCTGAACCTCGGAGACAAGAGCCTCTGAGGTCAGAGGGACAGAGAGCCGGCATTTGGGTAACATTGGAGCCAAGAAAAGTGCCAAGTGCATCTCTCGTTAGCATCCAGGCCGCCTTGGCTGTGCGCCCCCCCTCGCCCGCCCCTCCCCCCGCTGTGGGAGCCGAGGGGGCTAGAGCTATCCTGGGACCAGCACTGGTGGACGGTGGGCCGCCCAGGAGAGAGCAGGCCTTTGTCCTCTTGGCTCAGGCAGGGATGGGCCTGGATGTCCTAGACCACTGCCAAGCGGGCCTGACCTCCCGGGTCCCTCATGGAATCGGCTTTGGTCCGGCTGGCTGCTGGCCCAGGGCTCAGGGCCCAGAGCAGGGAAAGGGGAGTGGAGAAGTGACTTCCCTGTCGAATGTTGAGCTCAGAGGTTTTCTAGCAAAGTGCACCAGTGTTACCCTTCTGGTTGTGAGGTTTCTGACCCCACAGCCGGTGGCCAGGTCTTCCCCCTTCTGCCCAGTCTGCGGACAAGGTAGATGGAGTTTGAGGCTGCATGGCTTGGGTTCCCATTTCTCCGGCTCGGTCTCAGTGCCCTGCTGGCTCCCTGTCCTCACCCCCACCCCCCCCCCACCCCGTCCCAGATGCAAAGGACCAGGAGAGAGCGGGCTTCCGCGTGTGGCAGCCCCTGGGGCCAGGGGGCGGGTACCTGCCAAGGCAGGGAGGGCTCAGGAGGCGCCCTGAGTGGGGCAGGGCGCTCCACAGCCTCACAGGGCTCCTCTGGCTTCCACCTCAGCGGCTCCAGCCTCCAACAGCCAAGAGGCCTTGTTTCTGGGAGGCAGGCAGGGAGGGAGGTGGGGGGGGGAGGGGGAGGCTGAGGGGAGGCTGTCCCCCTGCTCAGCGGCCCTGGGCGGGGGGAGCGCTTCGGATGGGGGAGTGTGGCTGTGCTGAGGGAGGGCCCCAGGGTACTGGCACCAGCCCTGCTTCTTGTCCCCCCTCTGTCAGGAGGCAGTTCCCACCGTCCCCTTCAGCCCCGAAGATCCCGTCTTGGCAGATCCCGGTCAAGTCCCCGTCGCCGTCCAGCCCCGCGGCTGCCACCCACCACAGCAGCAGTGACATCTCGCCCGTCAGCAACGAGTCCGCGACCTCCTCGCCCGTGAAGGAGGGCCACAGCCCCGAGGGCCCCACGGCCACCTACCACCTGCTGGGCCCCCAGGAGGAGGGCCAGGGGATGGTGGACGTCAAGGGCCAGGTGCGGATGGAGGTGCAGGGCGAGGAGGAGAAGAGGGGGGACGACGAGGCGAGCCGCGTGGCCGAGGAGGGCCGCCTCGGGGCGCAGAGGGAGGACCGCCGGGGCGGGGACGGGCAGATCACCGAGCAGGTGGAGAAGCTGCGCCGGCCGGAGGGCGCCAGCAACGAGAGCGAGCGGGACTAGGCGCCCCCCCCCCCACCCCGGGGCTGGGCCTCCGCCAGCGGGTCGCCCGAGGGGGGGGGGTGCCGGCTCCCTCGCCGGCTCCGGGAGGGCGGCGTGAAGCCGGGTCGGGCCCGAGCCGTCGCCGCGGCCTCCGTGGGGCCTGAGCCCTGCGCGTGGGGTCGCGTTTCTGTGTGGCCGGCCTCCCCTCGCCTGAACGCCAGCCCCAGCCTTCCGCTTCCTCGGCTCAGCCCCACCCCGATGGGCCTGCGACCTTGTGCTCACGCCGGGCGGGGCAGGGGGGTGGGGTGGTGGTGGCCTGTGCTCTGGGCTCCCGCACAGAGGTCTCGTCCAGGGCGTGTCTGCTGAGCATCTTCGCTAACCTAACACCGTGCATGACAAGAGGTAGTTTAATTACCTGGCTCCTGATGCTCCGAGGAGGAAGGGCTGCATTGACGTGCCTGTTCTTCCGCCTCCCTCCTGTCCTGCCAGGGTTCCTTGACTTGCCCCGCAAGGGGCCGGGGCCGGGGGGGGGGGGGGGCGTCTTGTCATGTTTCCAGAAGCCACGGCCCCGTGCTCTTCTCTCTGGGCCAGGGCCTCCCAGGGCCTCCCAGCCAGTTCTCGTCCAGATGATGCCGCCCCCATGCGCTGTCCCAGCCCCACCGTGCCCTGCCGTCCTTCCAGATGAATGAAATCACACTGCACTTCTGCCGTCCTCGCTTGCTGCGTTGTGACTCAGCTAACCCCGTGGTGAGACGTGGTTCTGACTCCCACATAGGAGCCAGGCGTCAGGGCCTCCCTGTCTGCCCTTCCCACCCAGAAACACATGTTCATTTGTGTGATCAGGTCTAGGTTTCAGAATATAAGATACTACTGTATATAATTGTAATAAATACGAGTTGTCGCTATTTAATTCCTGCCTGTGTCTCTCTGTCTGCTCGTAGTACCCTGTGCCCAGAGGCGGGGTTCCCCTCGGGCTGTGCCAGGTGCACCCTGGGTGGGGGGTGCACCTGGCTGGGGGGCCAGGCCTGGGTAGCCCTGCCCTTGGGCCCGAGGGGCAACGGTCCCTTTCGCGAGGCGAGTTTCGTGAGCTGCTCCCTGCGAGCTGGAGGGTTTGGTCCTCGGTGCTGAAGGGCGACATCCTGATGCAGGAGAAGGGACCTCATGTTACTGTATATAGACCTGGTGTTGAGTGTGATGAGCTCTCCTTCCTTAAATGGATGAATGTGCTCCCAGGAGAGCGTGTGTCTCGCTCTGTCTTCCTCCCCCGTCTCCCGCTCTCCCTCCCTGTCTCCCGTTAACCTTCACATAGCGTTCAGCTGCGCCCAGAAAAACAGCACGACCCTCCTCCCGAGGAGCCCCTGCTCCCTCAAGCCCCTGTGCTGCGGCCAGGCTTGGGGACAGACGGCATGGCCACCTCCAGGCGCCTCGTGTAGCTACAGAGTGGAGACACAGTGCAGGGCGAGTGGCCGGGGGGCAGAGCCCTGCAGCGGGCTATGTCCCCCTGGGGGCCTGCGCCCCGTGGCCTGCTGACAGCCGTGCGTGCGCCGCTGCCCGGCCTCGGGCCCATCGGCAGCCCCGGGGAAGGAGGCGGCTGCGGATCGACGGGTGAGAGACTCGGCGCTGGGGCTGTTTTGTCGCAGAAGACATTTCTTCTGCCTAGGCCCCTTTTGGGGGCTCAGAGCCCAATCCCCTCCCCGCTGCTGCAGACCCATTCCTGGCTCCATGGCCCAGGGCACCATGCACGGGTCACGTGACAGTGACTCAACTCTTCCTGACCCTCCTGAGTGTCCAGCCCTCTGGCCGACTCTCAGGTGTTACCTTTGATGCTCATAATCTCCCGTAATGTCCCTGTGGACCCGTGTCCCCACCACGTGCTCCCTAGGGCCCAGCAGATCCCGCATTGCCCCACCGCCTCCTTGCTGCCCCCGAAGCAGCGAGTCTTCTCAGTCTGCGGGGGCTACCAGCCTGTCTGGGCCGAGGACTCCCCCCGCCCCGTGTCGGGGGGCCGGGTGGGCGGACCCGAGACAAATGAGCAGAGGGCTGGAGGCCTGGTTCCATCCCTCAGCCTCCGTGGGATGTGGCCGGAGACCCCGCTGGGCCACTACCTCTCCTCAGTGAATGGAAACCCCAGGTCCTCGGTGGGTGCTTTGGGGTCCGCCATTCAGCTCTTCAGCTTGGTGACCACTTGTCACCGTCTCTAACTTGGTCTCAGACCTTTGCAGGGGCCCCTCCTGCAGTGGCCCCAGAGGGGGAGAGCAGAGGGCAGGGAGCCCGGGGCGGCGCTGGCCAGCGCTGTAGGGGTGGGTGCGCTGGGCGGGTGGGTGGGTGGCGGCCCCCCGAGACCCGGTGACCCGAGGCCTCGCCATCCCCAGCCAGGGGCAGTGGGGTCCAGTGGGCTGGTGGGGGCCCTGGGGCTCACGTGCGGGAGATGGGGAAGGAAAACTGGACCTGGAGGCCTTCTGCCCTGCGGGTCCTGAGCTCCAGTGTCAGCTTTTGAGGACAGAGAGTCTGGCGAGATTTCAGGGAGGAAAAAACCCCTCCCCAAAACGGCGTGAGTGCTGCCTAATAAAGGCAGCTGCTGGACGGAGGGAAAACAGCCCTTTGGAAAAAAAAAGCCTTTCATTAGAAAAATAATGCATTTCATCCAAATAAGGTAAAAATATTTGGAATGGGGCAGAAGTGAGCAGCAAGCAGCACCCGTCAGGCCTTTCTGGAAGGGGGAAGATTATTAAACTGTGACAATGTAGTTTTGTAAAGTGTCTTTTAGGAAAGAACCAGAACCAGCCCCAGCCCCGGGAGAGGCTGCGGGGCCACCGCCCCTGGCCCCGAGGTCTCCCCGGCCACCCCCCTGTGACTCCTGGGCTCCGGCTCTGCTGTGGCCGAAGCCGCCCCCCCCCCCCCGCCCCCCAAGCCAGCGTGGCCTGGTGTTGGCGCTGCCCCAGGAGGCTGCTCCCCACCTGCCCGCCCAGCCTCCTGCACTCCGCGCAGTGGCCTTGACCCCTGGGGCTGGGAAGGAGAGCTTTCTGGGGGCGGGAGGGGGCTGCTGAGTTTGGAGTGTTTGGGGTTTTTCATATTGTGAAGCCATCGAAGAGGTTTACAAAGCCCGATCAGTACAGAGAGGAATGGAGAGCACAGATCTCTTGCTGTGGGCCGCCTGGGTGTGTGGCTGTGCTTGCAGCCCCCGACCCCACCTTTATTTTACTGAAGACGGGAAGCTCCTCCTCACCCAGTGGTCCTGGGCCTGGCTGGTCTCACTGACGGTCATGTGGCTTTGGGGGCTCACACCAAATGGGAGTGGAGGGGTTCTCTAGAAGGTTCTTCTCCCACCCTTGCCCTCTGCCCAGCCAGAGGTGCTGAGGTTGGCTCTTGGGTCAGGTCCCAGAACCTCCCTCTCTGGTGACTGCCCCAGCCCTGCCCCAGCTCTACCCCTGCCCCAGCCATGCCCCTGCCCTGCTCTTCCCCAGCCCTGCCCCAGCTCTACCGCTGCCCTAGCCCTGCCCCAGCCCTCCCTCTGCCCCAGCTCTACCCCTGCCCCAGCCCTGCCCCTCCCCTGCTCCTCCCCAGCCCTACCCCAGCTCTACCCCTGCCCCAGGCCTGCCCCTGCCCTCCCTCTGCCCTGCCTCAGCCCTCCCGCTGCTCCAGCTCTACCCCTGCCCCAGCCCTCCCTCTGCCCCTACCCCAGAGCCCAAGGAGGAGGAAGGACCGGCAGGAGACGTTTTCTGACAACCTGATCCTCAGGAGTTTACTTAATCCTTAGTGTTTCTTCGTCTGTTTGTTTAAGATAGTTTCTGCCAAGGCACCCAGGGAAGAGGGTCGAAGGCTCCAGGCAGCAGAAGCGAAGGGGCTGGTGAGACCCTGCACGTGTGGCTCCAGCCTCAGGTGAAGTGCTCACCTGGGGGTAGACCCCAGGCCTGCCCCTGCGCCTTTGCCCTGCATGGCTGTTTCCCACCCTGGGATCCGCCGCCCCTGCTGGGAGGTGGGGGGCAGCCACTGGGGAGACACCCTCATGGTGTGGTGCTGACATGGGACCACCACTCCGTCCATGTGAGGGCCTGAGCTGGGGGGGGGGTGCTCTCTGCAGCTCCCGGGGGGCCCCTCAGCTCCCAGCTCCCCCACCCTGCCCACTCCAGTATTGTTGGGTGCCTTTCACCCCAATTATGAACAAACCTTAGTTATTGAGCACTTTAAAGTTCAGGCTCTTCTAGAAGAAAACGTGAGATTTTACTATTTTGTAAGGGGAATGCCTGAAGCCTTTCCTTGCTCCCTGACAAGTCCTAGAAGGACCTTCTTTATGGTGACGGCCACATTTTTTAAAATCCATCCGCACACTCAGATGCCCGGCCCTCCGCCTCCGCGGCCAGCAGCCCAGGAGAGTCGTTCCTGGGCCTTAGCGGTTCCTAGGATGCCCAGGGGACCCAGGGTGCAGCCCCCAGGCCTGAGGGGAGCTCTGGCTGGGGCTGAGCGGGCTCTTTGGCCGGGAGAAAGCTTTGGGCTTCCCCAGGTCACGCGTCTGCCCCGAGTGGGAGCTGCGGCAGGCCGTGCCGGGCACCGTGTGCGTCCCGTGGGGGTCGCGGGCCTCCTGGGCGCTGCTTCCTGTCTGGCTGCCCCCGGAGGTGGGGCGGCTCCTCCCAGCGAGGGTGGCACGGGCCTGGCCCCACGAGGTTCCCCAGGGCTCCAGCCCATCCGAGGGGCCCTGCTGTCCACCTGGCTTCCCGGAGGCCTGACCCAGGCCTTGGGGCAGCCGCACTTCGTCCGCCACCCGTTGTGCTCTGGTCCGGGGCCAAGACCGCCTGTGGGGCCAGGGCCACCTCGTGGAGGCTGGAGAGCAAGCTGCCTTTGCCCAGGTTGACTGGGCCTGCCGGCGACGGGGCCCAGGGAGGGGGCCGGCCTGTCACTGGGTCCAGGTGGGGCCGGGGCAAGGCTGCTCGTGAGTGCCGGGGCCCAACTCCCATGGATGACTCAGCTGCGGGTAGCACCCAAGCCAGGCCAGGTCTGTGGGAGGTGGGCAGGCCGCTGACATCAGCATGAGCCTGTGCAGCTGGTTCTGGCTCTTTCCGAGAGGTTACAAAACTCT